GAAGGTTTCAAAAACCAGAGAGGCATCCAAGCCTGGCCCGAAAATCCCTGGGATTTAGGGTTGTAACTTTTCCATATGACCTTGGAGCTCTCCAGCAGAGATCTACAGAGAGGGAACCTGCAGGATCTGCCTGGGAAGCCCAGGTACACTTGGTTTCTCCCAGAGCTGGGGTCTCCCTGCAGTGGGGACAAGGGCTGAGTTGCTGCTTTCTACCTCTGATTCATCCCAAGATGAATCATCGGAGCTGAAACTCCTCCCGGCAGGCGCGGGGGCACAGCGGCTGTGCAGAGAACAAAGTATACAGAAGCAAAGGAGTTATCCTAATGTTTTCTTCTAATTAATCACTGCCTAATTACTGCCAGGAATCCCACCAGCCAGCAAGCAATGCTGGCTCATGGGCAACACCTGTCCCATTTGGGAGCATTGCTAACTACTCTGTGCATTTAAAACCCAGAAGATACGTCCCTCTCCAGGATGCAGTGAGGGAGAGGAGACCCCTGAGCCAGGCTGCTTGATAGCCCCCTGCATGGGGCTGTTGGCCACGTGTCCTGCCGGTGTTGCTTACAAACTGGTTTTGGTTTTGCCAAAACGCAGCTGGGAAAACTCAGCCTCTGCCATCAGCTTGGCACAAAGGGGCAGCACTAAAGCCACACCAATGCTTGGACTGCGTGCTGCTTTCTTCTGAGGTTAGAAGGCTTGGGTAGTCTGCTGGAGTTATTTCTGGCTGGTACTGAAGTGCAAAATCAAGCCATGACAAAATGCCATGGAGCGTGGGAGCTTGCTCAATGGGAGCGATGCAGGGGGCCCTGAGGAGTTCTCTTCTGAGATTTTCAAATTGTGGTGAAGAAAATGCCTAAAGGAAGGTAGTTGGAGCAACAGCCGACAGCTTGTGAATACGCTAAAAATAAGAATTTCAAAGAGACAGGACAGACACAATTTTCTTTAGAGGCTGTTGCTGATGCTGCTGGCAGGGGCTGCCGGCAGTCGGGGAATGCACACGGTGACTTGTATGGCAGAACACATTCTCCAGGCAAAAGGGGTTCACGGGGTGGGGAAACGCATCTGCTGGCAGCATGGCAGGGATCAAAGAAAAAGCAGAGGTTTGTCACTTCAACGGGAAGGGGCTGGGCTGTGCAGCTCCAGCCTCGCAGGGTCTGCTCCGTACCCCAGCACCTATTTCCCAGGGCTTGTCCATGTGTCCTCTTCCAGCAGCAGCTGGGATGGAGATGGGGTTCCTGTCCCCTGCCTGTTCCGCAGCTGCCTGGTGATGTGCTGCCAGACCTTCATGACACCCTTGGAGCTGACAGCCAAGTCACTCACGGGAGCGTTCCCTGGGTGTCTGCTGTCAAAACGAGCTGGGCTGCCAGGAACCTGCTTTTTAAGCACTTAAACCTCCCCCAGGTCATTATGGTTGGATTGGGTAAGGGATCGCTGTGCCAAGCAGCTCAAGGGGCAGACGGGGTACACTAATGTCTACCAAGGGCAAGCGATGTACCCAAGAAACAGTTGGGAATCAGTAAGGTCTGTCCTAGCTGCAGCCACTAAGGGTGTGTGAAATGTCACCCCCGGTCAACCCGAGAATCATTCAAGTGGGAAAAGTAGTCAGGAGTGGAAAGGAGAGGGAAAAAGTGAGTGGCCCCCAAAAGGGAGACTGCTATTGCTGCCCCTGGCCTCCAGATGTGAGTCCTCTCCTGCTGTTTAATGCTGCCACTTGCAAAAGAGAATGAGAGAGGAAAACTCTCCCACCATACCCTGTAGCTGAGGAGACAGAGCAGACACTTGATGGAGCTCGAGTCGAATCTCCGTCAGATCTTTTGCTGATGCAGACCTCGGCTGCGGAGGCTGTGGTGAGGCTTTGCCTCCCTGTCTCCTCTTGGAACTGCTCTGGTTTGTGCAAATGCCGGGTTTGGGGGCTGGGACTGCTGGCAGGGTACCGTACGGCTACGGGTACACTGCTTTGATCCAGCGACTTTGCAGTTGTCCCTGGCTGTGGGGCAGGGGTTTCTGCACCACGCTCCGAAGCTGGTGCTGACCCCCTGCTCCCCGTGTGATCCATGGGCTGGGGAGACCGAGATGTGGCAGCCCACTACAAGCCCCCGTTTCTGTCTGTATCCTGGGAGCAGCCTGAGGGCTCACGGCCACCAGGGAAACCAAGCAGGGACTCGCTTCAGGGGCAGCAGCCACATCCGAGCCGAGATGGTCCCAGCATGGCAGAGAATGCCCATCTCAACGAAACTGGGGCCATCGGTACGTGTTTGCACACTCGGGTCCCACGGCACCTTTTGAAGTCGACTCTGTGCGAGTCCGTGCGTTCATCAGACAGGCGATGGTATGTCAGCATCCATGTGAACGCTGCAGAGTGCACCCCTGGGCCACACACAGGGAAGGATCATTTTATCCATTAAAAGTCTTTTTAAAATGCCTCCTGCTTGTTTAATCCCAATTTAATGGGAGATTACATAATCCCTTAATGATATCCAGTATTTGATGGTTGCTGTTCACAGAGTAACACTAAAAAAAGAACCAGAATTATGTCTCCTTGTCATTTTTGCTTCTTCAGTACTTGTTCTCTTCCATTTATCTACTTAATTTTGGTCTGTCCATGATGGCTGTGTGGTTGTTACTACTTTATCTTTTCACAAAACCCCTTAGTGACCAATTTTGCTCCTCTCTAATCTTCTGCTCCAGTTCTGCCATGACATACCTTCTGATTCTTTTTTCAATGCTTTTTATTTTATTCTTTTTTCTCCATTTTGCAGTAGGAGAAGCAGGTAATTTTTAACTGTCCCAGACTATAGTTCAAGAAGGGCGTGAAGTTGAACAAAGGTTTCTCTTCACTCATATTGAACATTACTGACACGTTATTTCTGTGGCAGGCTTTGAGGCTTCGGTTTTAACCAGCTGCTGTAAATGTACAGAAGTAAACAGCAGAATCTGTAAACAGTTCAATACAGAAGACTTGATTTAGTACCGTAGAAGACAAAGCAATCAATAATCTATTACACATCTAATCACGGGCATGACTAGCCCAGCAGCCCTCTGAACAGCGTTCCACCAAATGAGAAGGGCGGTTGGGGACCACAGTAAGAGGGACACAAATCACTGAGATTGCAAATGCATTGCTCGGAGTAGATCTAAAAATGCAAATATTCAAATTCAACAATCACCTCTCAATCTACTAGTGAATCACTCTAGTGCTATCTGGAGACTAGTTGCTATGGCAGAAAGCTGTAGCGATGGCAGAAGGCCAAGAATCCTGCCTTTGAAATGTTAACCGAGTTTAACTCTTGACTCTTCTCAGACAAGGTTCATTACTTTGTGTGACTGCGTCATATTAAAAGAGCACTTTGTCTGCCCTGGGTGCCGGCTGGGAAGGGATATTATTAATCACTGGGACAGGGAAGCAGGTCAGTAACACCCATTTGTCAATAAGGACTTCTTTTTGTACCTTCAAGTCCCATACGTGATAGCAGCAGTCACATAGGACCTTTTTTCTTTCATTTCTTTTCATTTTTTTCTTTAATTTCGTTTTATTTTCTCCTTTGCTAACCCATCTCCTTGCTTCAGGCAAGCTACACCCAGTTCACAGCGCCCGGATGCACTCAGGGCATACCTACAGTCAGCGCAGGTGTGACGGTGCGACAGGGAGATCCTCTACTTTGAACAGCTGCAGCCTGGGCACAGACACGCTGCCGCTCCGTTCAAGTGACCATGTAGGCTGCTTTCTATAATATCCACCGGGAAAATCAGGAGTTTAGAGACTTCAGCAAGGAATAGATAAAAACATCAGCTGAAAAGTAATTTTGTGGATGGCAGAACTACCTGCGCATGTTTCAGCTGTCCAAAGTGAGGATCTGTCTCCCTGCTCAAAGGGGCAGCCGCAGGCGTGTACACTGCACTTTTACTTGAAGGTACCAACCAACCCTTTTCAGCTGTGCAAATGAGATCTCTCACATTTAGCTATTGGGCCAGATTTGGTAATTTAGGATTACTGAGATCCAAGGAAATGCCTAGATTAAACACTACCAAATATTCAGGCAGTGGTGCTTCTGACGTCTTTGCTTTAACATTTTGAGGAGCTGTTAAGAAGGACATGCGTGTTGAATGTTAACTGAGGATGGCAGAATAAACCAGATGGCGTTATTGCGAATAAAACCATCAAAGAGAACGGCCAGCATATAGAGAACTGCATCCCTAGCTCTAAAGATGCAGATTCAAGGATTTTTCTCCTCCAAACACAACAAAAGGCATTACTGTTGCAGTGGGAAAAGTCTTGAATACAGTAGGCTGTGTACAAACTTACAGTGGCGGCTGAGATGTGCCAGTAAAGTCGAAGGGTTGCTGTACGGTATTCCGACTCCAACCTGTACCTCTGGAGTTTTGCCCAGTCCCAAGAATAAGTTAATCACCACATGCCTCTCTAAATTGCTCTGCAGCAACCTTCAGAAATCTCATTCTGACTTCCAACACTTGTTTTCCTCCATTATACAACTCCATCTTCCAGGAACAAGCTCGCAAGGTAAGAGTTCTCTTGTGCTCTCACGCTTCCCATCTCAATAGGCTTTTGACTATGTGCTTAGACTTGAAGGAGTTATTCCAGAGAAGGGAAACACAAAAGCCCTGTGCAAAATGCAGCACATTTCTAGACAGCACTTAAAAAATGACTTTGCAATATCACCCATGTTCTTTGCCATCTTTCATCAACCATGATTTCAACTGCGGCATCTCCCCTTCTCTCCTCGAGATACATTGATGGTAAGTTTTTTTAAAAAAACCCACCCTAAATCATGTAAGCCATAAAAAAAAATATTACAAATTGGGAGTTTAACAGTAAGATTTCAGCTTTTTTTGTAGATATGCATATAGATATCATTTGATGATACATGTTTTCTTGTTTAATACCGGTCCTTAGATCAAGTGCAGAATATCATCCTTGAAATCCAAGGATTCCTCAGGTATACCAGTGAAAAGCAGGCTTCACTGAAAAAGCAACAACCAGGAACATTTAAAATGAACCATTTATTAAATCAAACTGTTATTTTAACAGTTACATAAGTTACACAGCATGTTTAAGTCAAAAGATTTCACGAGGAAAAAAAATTTAAACTTTTATTATGCAGGCAAAAATAGTACCACACAATATGTACCTGGGAGGGAAGAAGGGAAAGGGAATCTCTAAACATTCAAATAAGGCCATAATTATTTAAAAACAACAATAAAACAATAATAAAACCCCCCAAAGATCCATTTTCCTTTCAGTGTGTTCAGTGCTGCTAACTATACGTACTTTCAGGGTACAGATGTAATGGAGGCAGTGGTATCTTGAGAGCTAGGTTTAATGTTTTAAAACACTATCAGAAGTGGAATAAGGCTCATTAGTACATACAGCTGCCCTTGGAATGTCAATCTCAGTTGCCTTCATTAACTTAAAATTCACAAAGTGCACAGTTAAGATATGCCAAAAAATTGAAACTGCTACTCTACCAACAGCTGCCCATGCTTAATACTTAGTGGTCTATTGGAACAACGTATGTTCTCTCAAAAAAGATGTGTAAGAAAAGCCACTGTAAAACATTTAGTTTCAAAGATGCACTAGGAGCTTTCTGTAAACTGAAAAGTAGAAAAACATGGATTAATTATGTAAAGAAAAGAATACAAAAAACACTAGAAATGACCATCAAACTTCCAAAGAACAAGCACCACAATGGACATTAGCATTCGCTTTTGCAGCATACAGCAATGTAATAATTTTACTCTAACCAATCCACTTCATCGAATTCTGAATCGTCTTCTGAATCGCTGTATTCCACAGCAATGCGACGGGAAAGGATAGTAGCGACGTCATTCTCAATGCGCTCGTGCTTAGCTTCTTGTTCGCGCTGCTCCTCAACTTTGCGCAGCTGAATACCTGAAGAACATCAAATCACAAACGTGTGACTCTCCTCCTTTATCGTGACACAAAGTACTTAGCTCGTGACTGGCAAAATGCTTTGCAAGCGAAAATGAAGGCTGAGGACATCGTCCTCCTCAGATACACGTTCTCTGTCGAGCTTTTAACGACAGGAATGTCAGAATTGCAATGGCAGCCTAGAGCACCAGTCTTTCTACTACAACATCCTGCTTCTGATTTCCCATTAAAAACACACTCACATTTTTAGTACTACTGTAGTGATTAAGCCATTTTACTATTTGCATTTCCAAACAACTTTTATACTCTGTCTTTATGGTCTCAGTTAAAAGTTACAGCTATTTGAGTATCCAAACAAGACAGGACTTCTTGTAACCCAGTTCTGATCATGTAATGATCTGTTCTGGGATAAGGCGTTACTGAAAGATTAAACACAAAGGAGAAACAACACATTAGCGATAACATGAGAGAGTTAAATCCAGTAACTTAGTTAAAAACATGACAAAGATTATATATTTTGGTTTTATACTCATGATGCCACAGACTGACACAGTCTAAATATGACCTACATCCTGTACTTAATACTCTGTTGTCAACTGACAGGCAACACAAGTGCAGGTCCTCAGGTGGAATTTAAGCTGTGATAACTTCAGCCTTTGTTTCTTGTGCAAGACTTGGTCAAAAGCGTTTTCAGAAATTACCTAAACTACACCAGCGGGCTCTCCTTTATTAGTTCTTTTGCTGCACCACTGTTGTACTCAACTGCTGTTGATACTTCGTTAGATTCAATGATGTTATCAATTCATGTGCATATAGATGCTTTAAAAATATTTTGAAGTAGTACTATAGCCTATCCACTGACATTACAGTACCGTACAGATTCTGTACTATGTTGTACAGAATGCCCATGCAATAGGAAGCTGTAGGTTCAGGGAGAAAACAGAAGAATGTAACACTCAAAACATTTGAGAAAGATGAACTATTCAAAGGTACCACACAGTGAAACAGCAGCACTCAGAGTGCAGTGGGGATTTTTCTGGCCAGCGGCACATGAGCGATAAGGTACAGCTTGTACCTACAGCTCCTCGCTAGGTCCCTACAGCTCCTCGCTAGGTCAGCAGGAGAACATTGCCCTGCGCCTCTGCCATCCACTTGCACTATGCCAGCGGGGCACCTTGCAATGTAAAGACTGCTCCACTACTGCACTGAGACTTGTCAAGATTAGATATCAGCAGCTTTAACTCCTTTTCAACAACAAAATTGTCCCTTTAACAACAATTTCTGAATATCATTTAGATGTTGTAGTACACCGATATATGATCAAAATTCCAATGACAATGGATCTGTTCTGCTTTTATCTAACAGTTTGTGAAAATCAAGGTTTTTGTCTTCTACATAATCTATAGGTTATCAGAAATAGCTGCATTTCCAGGTAAACAGAAATGAAGAGAGAATCTTCACAGATCATTTACGAACACATGTACTTTTTTTTCTTAAATCTAACTTCCACACAGAACCAGTTTTGCCATCCTAACTAAACATCTGATAAGCGCAATTACGAATCGACAAAAATCTGTCTACCTGGCAATGCACATGCTACAGAGAATAGAAAGAAGAAACAGACTTAAGATGCGTTCTTAGAAGTTTTAAACTAACTTCTTGCATGTGAGATATTCCATCTCTCAAAGCTAACGTGTATTTAGCAAGTTTCTGAGACCATTCTTTTTGCCCCTTAATGGCCAAACATTACCTTTCCGTATTGCTTCCAGCAGAACACTTCTAGCATCGCTGATTACAGGTAGAGTTGAAGGATGGCGTTTGGGTTCAGGAGCAGGAATCACTTGGGATGGTGGAGATGGAGGCATTAGTGGGGCATGAGGGCCAGGGACAATGGTTGTGGGAGGAGGGTGCAGAACAGGAGTGGGGTGAGAAAGGGCTGCAACTGTGACAGGAGAGGAGGGTCGAATGCCAGGAGGAGGCAAGGGAGGAGGTGGGGGTGGTGGAGGAAGTCCCTGTACTTCAGCTTGAGGAGGAACTGGGTGAACGGGTGCAGCTTCGCTCACTTGGGCAGCTCTAGTGACAGGAGGAGAGGGTTGCGCTAGGGGAGGAGCAATTGGAGGTGGAGCTGGATGTAGGACACCAGGAGCTATCTGGAGAGGAGCTGGTGGAGGTGGCACAGCTGGGGCCTGCAGA